ATAGACTTTAGCTTATCTCTTAAAGCATTGCAAGTTATTTCTTATGAAGTTTTGATGTTTTACAGGAAACCAGACATGAAGAGCCAAGAACATGAAAAAGATGACAAAACACCATGAAGAAGGCAGATTTGCGACAGATATGCGACCGCAGAAGTGATGTGTGAACCGGAAACCTATCGCAGATGTAACCATCCCATCTTAGTTTCAAGAGTCAAATATGCGATTTAATATGAGGTCTCATAATTCATGTGTAGACCGCAAAATTGTCGCACAAATACAAGAGGAATTCCAGTGAAGACGAATCAGCTATCCACTATACGGCCACGAAATTATTATGTGAACCGCATAACCATAATGAGATGGAAATCTGGAAATCTTGGAGATCAAATTTGTAGCATTTCTACTTATGTGTGGATCGCGGATCAGTTCCGCGGTTCATTTTGCGATTGCAAACTAATCTGAAGGGCTATTTTTGTTACATTTTGTCCTCGAGTTTTGGGACATTATAAATAGAATAACTAGAGTTTTGTGGGTCATCTAGTCTGAAAAAGGTCCTACACTTAGAGCATTAAATACACCACTTGTTTTGGAGCTTTTTGGGAGAGATTCCAAGACTTTGTTTATTCTTGTATTCTAGTATGAGTAGCTAACTTTAAATACTAAGGTTGTGGACCCTAAGTGGGTGCAATGTTAATGGGTGTTTACCATTGTTTATATATATATAATGGGTGATTGATTTCTATTCATTTCTTATGTTTCATTTATGGTTGGTGGTTGCAAACATTAACTAGTGCCAATTTACTTTTGTCTTTCACTTGGAAAAGTGGGTTAAAGTGTGGTAGAATTGAATAGCAAGAAAGGCGTTAAACCTTGTTTAATAGAATCTCTTAGGACTAAATGGGTTCTACTTGGCATAAATTGGTTGCTCTTAATTGTAACTCTTTTACATTTGAAAAAATCATAAAGAGAAAATACTACCTAATTATTGAAAAATATTGGATAGTTATTTAGGAGGAATTTCCATTTCAAAGGACCTCCCATTAGAAATATATCATATTCACACTGATAGCATTACATTCTATACACGGGGACACAACCTTGTTTTCTTAATCCTTTTCATCAATTCCCTTAACAAAATAGCTTCTCTTAACAAATCACAATTACCAAACTTTTTCCAAACTAACGGAGTAGAATTACACCTTTAGTCAAGTGGCACACTATTCAAGTGACATTTTCACACCTATTCCATGTGGGATTCGACCCCAACCTAATAGGATTATTATATTTGACATTGGTCGCCTTACACCATTTATATAGGTGTAATTTGAGCATATCAAGTAACAAACAACATAGAAGAGATAAATGTACAATAGCAAACAAAGTAGGAGGCCTATAGGCAACAGTGACAGATAAGATAGAATGCACATAAGTAACGGTAATAGATAAGACATGATGTACCTAAGTAACAACAACAGACCAAGAAGGTGGTAAGTAACAACAACAACAACAACAACAACAACAACAACAACAACAACAACAACAACAACAACAACAACAACAACAACAACAACAACAACAACAACAACAACAACAACAACAACAACAACAACAACAACAACAACAACAACAACAACAACAACAACAACAACAACAACAACAACAACAACAACAACAACAACAACAACAACAACAACAACAACAACAACAACAACAACAACAACAACAACAACAACAACAACAACAACAACAACAACAACAACAACAACAACAACAACAACAACAACAACAACAACAACAACAACAACAACAACAACAACAACAACAACAACAACAACAACAACAACAACAACAACAACAACAACAACAACAACAACAACAACAACAACAACAACAACAACAACAACAACAACAACAACAACAACAACAACAACAACAACAACAACAACAACAACAACAACAACAACAACAACAACAACAACAACAACAACAACAACAACAACAACAACAACAACAACAACAACAACAACAACAACAACAACAACAACAACAACAACAACAACAACAACAACAACAACAACAACAACAACAACAACAACAACAACAACAACAACAACAACAACAACAACAACAACAACAACAACAACAACAACAACAAGGTAAGGGCAGAATATATATGCATGTATATGAGGGAAAGATAAACATGATACTATGCATGTCTCTCATCCTTACTTTCACAGGAACACACTTCGTGCCATGAACTCTCATTCTCACTTGAACATAAACACCCTTCGTGCCAATATCATATCAAATTGCATGGGAATACCCTTCATGCATATATCACTCATCCTCACTGCACAGAAATACCCTTCGTGCAATTTTACTTATCCTCACCAAGCATATGTATATCGGTACAAGCAAGGTAGGATGCATAAATACTATTGAGAGGGATGAGTAAGTGTAATATGATTCCTGAGAAATAATCATAACTATCGCACAAATAAGCAAGCCAACATTTCAAGAGCTGTCTTATCCAAATATCACATGATCTTTAACATGATTAAGAAGGCTCAAGTAACACAAATATGACATGTATAGATAAGTGTTCGTAATACAAGCATGTCTGCGATCAAATCCAGTATATCACAACTTCAAGAATAGCCCATCATTTCATTTAAGATGTCATATGTTTATTCATAATTTCTAGCATGGATAATTATACTCATTTAGTCGTAGAAACAAACAAAACATAAGTCAAAAGGATCAAAAAGTTCAACAAGGCACAAAGAACCATATAATCTATCCCGAGTATGGATAATCCTGACACATGCATATACGCTCGTCACCTCGCATATGCATCAACTCTGTATGAAGCAAACAATATTATTTATTAAGAAAAATTCTCTCAAACTAAAGATAGGTAAGACACTTACCTCATACCATAACAAGTTCAGCAACCTAATACCATTTTTCTTAGAAATACTCCTTAAAACGATCAAAAACTAGTCAAATATAATCTAAGAAAGTCAAATAATGCAAAAGAAAACATCCTCAACCAATAACGGTTCAATCTTTGATGAAATTTCAATAGTCAACAAAAAAATAAACCCGGACCCACATGGTCAAACTTCAAAATCAAGACCAAATCTTGATGACTCATAACCCCACGAGTCCAAATATATAATTAGTTTCAAGAAAATTCGACCTCAAATTAAGGTCTAAATCCCCAAAATTAGCTCTCTCAAGTTCAAACCCAAAAATTCAATTTTACACTATAAAATCCTAGATTTAGGGCAAAAATCTATGAGGAATCATGATATATAATCAATACTAACCTTAAAATATCAACGTTATAAGTTGAGATGAAAATCTATCTCAATATCGCCTAACCCTAGCTCTACATCTTAAAAATGGTTAAAAATAGTCTAATCCCGATTTATGGTTTAAAAATATCCCTGGGCGAAATTCATCTTCCCGTTCGCAAAGGACCTATCGCGTTCGTGAAGGCCAATGATCAGTGACCATCGCACTCACGATGCCAACCTCGTGTTCGTATAAGCTACTCCCCCAGAGCTTCGTGTTCGAGACTAGCTCCACATTCGCGAAGCACTAAAATCACACCAGAAACCAGCAAATGAAACATGAACAAAAATAGTCAAAATCATTCGAACCCTGGTCCAATTATCCTATCAAGTCTATATATCTAGCAGGGACCTGCTCGAAGGCTCAAAACACCAAACATAACATTAAAACAAAGAATCACGTATCAAACCAAGAATTTCAAAAGTTCTAATGTTCAAATTTCTAACTTTCGATTAAACGCGCCGAAACGGCCTCGGGTCTCTCGAGACCCAAATCAAACATATGTACAAGTCCAAAATCACTGTACAAAGCAACGAAATCATCAAATCATCAATCAGGGGTCTTTTACTCAAAAATTAAATATTGGTCGACTCCAACAACTTAAAGCTTCCAAAAAGAAAACTCTTTTTCCAAAACACTCCAGAACCTCTAAGAAATCAAAATCAACTACACGCGCAATTCCTAAAACTTGTTCAAAAGAATCTACTCAAAGTCTCAGATCGCAAAACGAAGCGCTAGAAATCAATATAACTGATCGGATTGTTACATAGATAGAACATCAACATAGAGTCCTGCCATGGATTTGGACAATGGACTTAAACGAAATTAACGACAAGAACAAAACAAATACAGTCTAATCCCACAAATAGGGTTTGAAAAGGTTTGTGTATGCGCAACCTTACCCCTATCTTGTGAAGGTAGAGAAACTATTTTTGATAGACCCTTGTCTCCCGAGAACATAGTCACAACATTAGTTGTTAAAAAATGAACATAGTTTGCAATGCTTTACCTCTCCCATGAATATAACCTCGTCCTCATTAAGCAAAGCACAAATACATATGAATGTTTATTTGAGATGTTTCATTAGGCATTGCAACCTCTAATCTAGGGATGGAAGCGGGGCGGTGCGGGTGGGTTGCGGGTTTCAGGGTATCTGGGGCGGTACGGGTTTAAATCTATGCGGTATGGAGCGGGTTGAAATAATCTTTTAAAAGATTGATGCGGTGCGATGCGGGCGCGGGTTGTGGGTTTACACGAATTTACACAAGTTTTCTGGTTTTGGCCTATTGTATATTCTAAAAATTATCCGGCAAGACATGTGCAAGGTCTGTGACAAACTTAAAGACCATAATCTCTGTAAAACCAAAAAGTCAAAAGAAAAAACTTATCATAGTCTCTGCAACCGCTTAACATCGTTTACCATCCCTACTCTAAGCACCTTAGTGGTGTGACTCGCAGCTTGTGCTTTGTTTACTTCTGAAATGAAACATCACCTCCAGCCTGCCCCTATTACATGCTTGGGCAGTGAACAAGTATTGCCATGAAATGACCGTTGGTTTGTACGAAAAATTGAAATGACCATAGCTTCAAGGGAACCAATGGACTAACACTTAGTGGTCCATAATTGGTAAATACTGAAATTAGCAAAATTCCACCAACTGTTCTTTATATTTATGCACAAGCAAAGATAAACCATGTCGAAAAGTTATCTTAGTAGACTGGAATAGCATAAAAGGGAACATATTAATCTGCTTAAAAGTTACAATGATTATAGACTGGAAAGTTCACAAGCAAATACTATTCGTCCACTTGTACATTTGCATGTGTTGAAAGTATTAATCTATCCAAGGCAGAAACTTGTATTGTCACAGAGCTTCACCACAAAGTAATAAACCAAGGTCATTTGGCATCCTTGTCAAATTAGCTGAACCAACCAGAGACTATTCTGTAGACTAAGAAGCTGCTGTTGTATTGCTGCTTCTAATCTCTGTAAAACCAAAAAGTCAAAAGAAAAAACTTATCACAATGAGGCTCCACTATGTCCCTATCATGGCAGGTAAATATCTCTATAGTACTCCGACCTAGCGAATGAACAAAAAGGAAGATTGAGAATGCACTATGACAATGGATAGTGGATACATAAAAAGCCACAGGACAGACAGTATTACACACATATATATATACACACATTTGTCCAAAGTGCAAACAGGTGTGGCACACCAACTTTCACATTCCTTGCCTGGTCCTGGTCATTCAGTCTCATGGTGGAAACACTAAGAACTGCAGTAATGTAATCCAGTTATCCTGAAATATTCTTTAGTTGAGCTTTTGTGAAAGCAAGTAAGCATGTTCAACTACTTTACGGAGAGAGTAGAGACAAATTAGTAGTAGGTAGACGAGAAACCAAAGCTTTAAGCTGATCCAAGCAGAATGTTTATTATCTCCCTAAGTTGCAAGAGAAAACCTTCTCAGAGAGCTCAAAACTGACATGAAAATGAGCTATGCCATCAAGAGCCAAAAGGAAACAAATGAGATGAAACAAGAAATTAATGTGTTACGTTTATTTACTACTTATTTAATCATAGTGTCTCCTATTAATCTGAGATATCACAAGTAAAGAATCTGCAAATACCCACCAAATACATGTGCAGATGTGTAAGGAGATAGATTTTTTTTTTTTCTAAATTTGAGTGGATTTCTAGAGTATGTTAAGGGGTCAATTTTCACAATTTTCCTTTTTATTGTTTGGTTTACTGTCATAAAAAATGTTAATAGGCCTGGTTAGTCGAAGACGGATTAAATTCATCATCCGCGCACTCGTGTATGATTTATGAAGGAATTGAAATTTCACAAGTATGGGCATTTCATTGCTCCTTGTATATAAAAGTTGCTTGACTAGTAATGCAACACAATTTTTGAATATATTCCATTTTAAAAAATTATTTATTGTACCAAGCAACCAAAAAGTATGCATAAAATATTTACAGGAAAGAGGCATCCTACTATTGGGCATGTTCTTATTTCAAAACAAAATGAGGGCCATTGTTTCACATGAAAGTGAACTATGCCATTAATGCCTAGGTGTATTCACACCTATTTCAACATAGGGCAATCAGAGAGGAGGGAGCTACTCCATTATCCGCTGCACTTAACTCAGTACGTACATCATTTACCATGTCATATTTTTCTTATGTATGGTACTTGGAACCTATGTTGCGGACTCTCCGAAATGCTGCTGCACCCGTGTCGGATTCTCCAAAAATGCACTAATTTTGGAGGATCCGACACGCATCCGGCAACATTTTCGGAGAGTCCGAGCAACATAGCTTGGAACACCGGTAAGAATGGCTCTCAAACCTTCATATTTGTTAAGTGGGAGAATACTTTTATAACATATTGGGCCGTTGTTGTTGTTGTTGTAGATCAATTAAGCTTAACAAAAAGCCAGCCAAAAGAGAAAAAAAGTTAACAAAAAAAGAACTTACCCCATGATCCATGGGCTGGCAAGCTGACATACTGAGGACATGACCCTCTTGATAAGGCGCTAGTATCACGTGCACAGTCACGAGGCTATAGAAAGGACAGGGATTGAATCCTATATTAGTGGGGAGGATTATGGAATGACAGTTTGCTAATAATAGAGATTCAAAATAAAATACAAATTAAAGGGCAGCCCAGCGCATGAAGTATCCCATGTTTACGCAGGGTCAGGGGAAGGGCCGCACCACAATGGGGTGTAACATAGGCAACCTACCCTAAGCATCAATGGCTAATTCCACGGCTCGAACCCGTGACCTAAAGGTCACACGGAGACAACTTTACCATTCCTCCAAGGCTCCCCTTCAAAATACAAATTAAATGCATGAAATCAGAATACCGAAACAAAGCCTGTATTCTTCCTAACCCCACTGTTCTTAACATATAGGATATTGATTAAAGTGACAACGAGGGGGTACTGGATGATAAAAGAAGGTCGGTCATTGTCTTCTGTTCGTTTTCTCATCAGTTGGCTTTTCGGCGACATGCAAACCTTAGTAGCCGTCTACATATGAACAAGAAAACTGGTTCTTAACGATCAAGTCATGAACTTTTCTGCATTATGGTCCTGTGAAATCTACTGGTGAGAGTGAGACTATCCTGGATGGCAAGGAAGTTTACAGAATGAAAGGTACTTCGTTGATGCTGACAAAGATTTCTTTTTTTCGTTTTCTTTGAACAGGCACTGGCAAAGAGTTCTACAGACGCAACATACTATCTGAAAATTTTCATTTTATGCCGTCAACATCATCATTACATTACAGTAAATGTGAGTCATAAAGCATCTATTCCAGTATCTGTTAGAGGATTAGAGAGACAACAAACCTCAAAATTCTTATAGAAGCATATACGAAGTTCCTCCAGGGCATCGCCTGAGCATGTTAACTCGGGGGTTGCATGGAAAGCATTTTCAATTGATGAAATGATGCCTCCTAATGGATACTTTTCGGAATCTGATGGTACATATCCAGCTTCAAACAGAACTTCCTGGAGTTGTGTTTGAATGCATTAATGTTAGTCATGTACCAGGAGTAATTACTATTCATATCCAATTGTCATGCATAACCACTATATGGTTAGTCAACTGAGATTGAAGAATAACTTGTTAATATTCAACTGAAAACAAAATGAAACTGTATCAACAAGAGAACCATTTTCACATGGATAAATTGATATCTATATAAAAACAGTTTTTAGTGCATAAACAATATCAAGAATGTTTTGATTCAGTTGATTAATTGATACCCACCCACCCCCCCAAAAAAATATATATATATATCCTCTGTTGATTACCGAGTTGCAACTGATTTCCTCTTGGTATATTTTGCATCAAGGGGAACTAGGTATTAATAAACACCCAGGAGAAAGTTTTGAGATATAATCATATTATTCAAGATGCAACAACTTCTTCACTATTTGAGGTCATCAAAAAATTTCATAGAATGAAAATACCCAAGCACAAAAAGATAAAAACAAAAACTACAAAACTGTACAAGCAACAAGAAGAAAAGGACATAAAATTTCTAAGAAAAAAAGGTATTTTACTCTTCCAAGGATAGTATACCAGGACTATAATACATAGCATGAAAAGTCACTTACTGTAACATTATACTTGAAGTAAACATTCAACGTAGTCAAAAAGAACTCATATTCATCATGGACAACTGGATAAGCACATGTCCCATGTTTTTCTGCAATCAATAAACATGAAAATATAGTCACAAATGATACTTAAAGAATATCCTATCTGGCTTTTGTCCCTATAAAAAATTTAAACCGCATACAAGTAGGGGTAAGGTCCGTACACACTACCCTTCCAGACCCCACTTGTGGGATTACACTGGGTATGTTATTGTTGTTGTTGGTGTTGTTGCATATAAGTATACCAGACATTCTGTACTATAATCAGGTTGGATTTTGTAGTGAAAAAATGCCCTGCCTCCATATAACTCCCTATTGAAAACCAGGTGTTTTGTTTGGTAACCAGAAGATGTACGCCCCATCATAATACTATGAGGTATTTGTAAAAAGAACAAACATGAGTTCTTTTACACATTGCACTGCAAAGCGATATAACAACCACTGGGAGTAGGGGCGGGATTCTCAGAGTAACTTAGAGGGATTAATTCTCCCCAATAACAAAAATGTGTCTTTTAGCCCTTTGTTGGCACAACATCATCATACCAAAGGGAGATTACAGCATATTGATGGTGTGCACAGGCTTAAGCGCACACAAGAGACAAGACATCTCATTGATTCCATGACAAAGCAGAAGGAAATAACTACCTTCTACCTCAGTTTTAGAAGGATAATAAATAAATAAATTTACTGTACACGAGGAAGTACATGCCTAATCACTTGTCAGCATCCAAGGAGAAGAAGGGAGCTACACTTAATTTGTTAAGACATGTCAACAGTCAAATTACTTTCTAGGTTTTTACATCACTGGCTCCTTTATGTACATATAAACCTTGCTTCTCAACTAAGTTCTAAGAAATAGCAAGCTTGCAAGATTAATTTAACATAAAATATCGAATAAGACAAGGTAATTACCCCACTGTGCTTGAGTATCTCCAGAGTCAGCATAGAGGAAATGCAAGGAGGATGTGTCAGTTCCTTAAATTGTATCGAATTCAAACAATCAATGAGAAAAAATAATAGTGAAACCACCTCATGTGCCCAGAATGGTCCTTTTCTGTGATGGCAAGATCTGGGGGAACCACAACTTAAAGAAGGCCAATACTTCCTCAAGGGCTCGAGCAATGTTGAAATCTGAGATGACAAATAGTACTTTGGCTCAAAAAAATAAATTTGACCTTGGTGATGAGGAGTAAGCATATCTATGAAATGGAAAAAAGGGAAGCACCACTGAGATTAACTAAGCTTCTCAATGACCTCATAGTGGAGTTTCCAAATATCCTAGCTAACCAACGAAGTTCACAGAAGCTTGCAGCGCTAATATGAAATAAAATCGCTTGAAGCCAATTTACAGCAAAAGATGTTTGATGGCTTAACTCTCTATCTGTATTTGCATAAATAATTGGCACCTTGACACAATTTCATAGCCATAGTCTACGTTACAAATATGAACAAATTATTTAACAGAATTCAGATCTGAAAAATTAAGCAGACAAAAGGTCTTATAATGCAAACTTCATGATTAAAAGTTAAGATAGAAAATAGACAAACGTGTAAGTGTTCACACAAAAAGAACTGCTCAATATGAAGGTGAAGATTTAGGAATCCGTTCTTGAGTGCTTGATCTTGGTAAGAAGTTGCACCCAAGGATGTGGCCTAGTGATAACTGGAATGAGGATCACGGGGAAGAAAGTTTTGAATCCCAGTAGAGGCCAAAAAAAAAGCTAGGCGATTTCTACCCCGACACCACTGTTATCACAATAAAAAAAATCTCCATGAACTCTTGTGGATTTAGTCCTGTCATCAGAAGACATTGGCATTCCAGTTATAAACTGTTCACAAGCAATGCAAGTAGTTCCACCAATCAATTCTCACATTCCAGGCTGCTCTCTCATAGAAAAAGGGCAAGAAAATACAATAAGCAAACATACCTCTCTCTCATCAAATGCTTTACCAGAACAGCAGGAAGGCCAAGTTCCATCATTGTACTCTGTCCAAAGTCCATCTATAGCACAAGAAACCTTATTCAATTCTATCTTTCACTTTTCATCACATACAAAATTAATTAAACACCCTTCTGAAATGGAGTAGGACTTACGAATTGTGAATACAGGTGGCGAGTTCGAGCTGCAAAAATACAAAAATCACAAGTAAGCTCCTATAACGCATGTTATATAATGAAATTGCCGCAAAACAAATATATCTAAATTTCTTATTCTTTTTCTTGCTATAATAATCGGTAAATAATTGATCCACTTTGCGCTTCTCCACTTAAAGATAGTAGTAGTACTAGATTTGGTTCAGTAGCCATCAGACCAAAGCCATGGAGGCCCATAAACTCTAATCTAACAACAACTACAACAACTAAGCCTCAATCACAAACTAATTGAAGTCTGTCGTATGAATCTTCAATATCCATTTAGCACCATTTGGACCATACTTTAATTTAATCCTAAC